AGGAAGGAAGGAAGGAAGGAAGGAAGGAAGGAAGGAAGGAAGGAAGAGGTTCCCTGTCAATTTGGAGAGAGCTGGGATTGTTTTTTCCACCAAGCAGATTTGCCCAACTCTAAATAAACATGCTTTTGTAACCAAGTGACACCTGAGATAGAATGACAGTGAACTACATTTACTGTAAACAGCACCACCCATTCAAAAGGATCCCAAAGCGCTTTACAAGCATTAGAAAGAAGAACCACTTCACTTCCCAGTGAAGCACAATCACCTCTGAGGTGAAATGTGGTGACTGACAGTGCAGAACAACACACTTTATTTTAGTCGAGGAAATGGAGAATGTTGTAGCCAATTAAAACTATGGGGTGGGTGAGTGGTGGTGGGGAATGTTGGGTAAGCAGAACAGTTACATAAATTGGTATTTGGCCAGGTGCTTGAGGTTGAGATGACCACACTATAAAAAAGTGCCATGGGATCTTTAATGACCATAACCGGTCAAGACCTAAATTTTACGCCTCTGAGGATAAAAACATTAGAAAACAATGAAAGATACCTTTGTTGAATACATTTCTGGACAATGATATGTGCCAATTATTCTTCTGTCCTGTAAGTTAATAAAATCAAGACCAGTTTCCTTAGAGATAAGGCAGCTATTATCTTTCATTTAAAATTAAAGCACTGTAGTATAATAGTAGGACAAGTAATTAAAATATATAGGGACCTCTAAGCCAACAATTATCATAGGTACATTCTGGCTTCAGAGGTGCTATTACTGCCTTGCTGTGCTCCTCAAGGTAACATAATGTTGTGATGTAAATGTATTTTTTCCAGTTGGTCATTTGACCAAGGAAGATATGATGATATGAAAACAATTATTAAAATTATTCTTGGGGAAAGTAAGTGTAAAAGTGGTTTCAAAAGGAGGTGGAGGAAGGTTAAAAAGATCTCTTGGTGCTGAAGGATTGTTCAACCATAGAACTAGACTCTTTATGGTGAACAGGAGAGTTCAAACTTAATGGAGAAATTCCCAGGACAAGAAAGGAAGGGAGGATGAAGATGAAGTAAAAGCAGCAGCAAGTACTATGGAAATAAAAGGTGAAGGCAGAAGTGGAGGAGTAATGACCAGAGTTAAGCAACCGTGCAAGACACTGGGGTTTTTATAAATCAATCTTAAATGTGAACGACAAAATAGATGATGCAAATGATTCATTTATAGGTCCAGGACAAATGGAAGAAAAGCTGACTCTGGAGCCTTGAAAGTTGCCATGACTTTTTTTGATGGTCTCAAACAAAGGGAATACAGAGGAAAGCATAGAATTGTTACCATGATATATTCTTCCTGATACCTAGAAACTCCAAAATGATGGCTTTCTTGAGGAATTCCTCTTACAATAATGCATTAGCAACTGTTAAATACAAGAAAATTACAACTCCCACACACATTCATTAGGAATCCTCCAAGGATGACCAGACCTCTGAAATTATTATCTTTCAGTAAATCAGTTCCTTGGTGATTATGGTCTGCTGCTCTGCCAAACACAGCTTTATAGAACAGGAGAAATTTATACTGATGAATTGAAAAGATACAACATTGACACTTCTCCTTTCTCATACACTGTTCATTTTCACCTGTAACCTTCAACTACAGGCAGGAACTGATGGCTCATTTTATGGTAGAGTGGCTCAGAAACTGTGTATAAAATAGACAGTAGGGATGGAATTCCTGATAGAAAAACTCTGAAACAAAACAGTTGCAAATTGAAAACTTACTTTTTGTTAAGTGGAGCTGCCAGTAGATTAAAACAAAATCTGGTGAGGTAAACTATGGAGTCTAAACTGGTACCCAGTCTACTATAAATATTAAACCCTCAAATTTAGTAGCTATATGTCCTGTGAAGTGACATTCCAAAGAAATGAAGACAGAAATAAAGATCCCTTTCTTAATGAAGGCTTACATTACATGTCTAGATATACAATTTAATTTGTTATAGATGAAAACCTTACTATCTACAGCACAGTTTCCCACCTCTTAAAAGCTGAGGTTTGCTTGGAAAACCAGTAACATTCCACTCCTGACTAGTCACAGGGGCTCTAGCAAGATCAGATGAAGGTGTGACATGCACTTTACCTGTAATAGGGATCTTCCACCTCATCAGCAAGGTCTGACTCATGGAATGGGAACCACTGAGCTCTGGGGATAGCCCTGACTGCACAGGCAATGTGTGGGAGGGAGAGAGCTCTGTGTAAGCTGCTGCACTAATTGTTTTTTCATCACTCTGGATGAAAAAACAAGTAATGAATATCAAAGGGCACCTGCCTAAAGCTATAGGGGTATTTTTGACATGATAAGCCAGTCTGCTGAGATAAAGCTGTGGAAACTTATAAGACACAAATGCTAATATTTCAAAATATCTATATGTGAAACAATGTCTTTAACAATGTAACAAACCCTGCATTTCCATTGTCTGTCCAAAACACAGTTTACTGCCTGTATTGCAGTTACTGTATATGAAACCAGGCTAGCATGCATTGTTGTACACCGAAAATTTGGGTCAGGCTGTAAAGAGTACAGTTAGAGGACAGTAATGGGGTAGACTTATCATTTCAGGTTGCTTCACACGGTTTCAGATCACAAAATTGAGAGAAACTCTGCAAATTACAGAAGGATTTTCTTCAGATTCTTGACCTTTCAAAGACTAAAAATTTAAGCACACCCTGCCCCTGCAAGAAACCTGTTAAGAGTTAAAAAAAAGAGGGGTTGAGGAAAAAATATAAGATCTGAACAAGGAGCCTTAACATTGCTCTAAATAATTGTAAATCAATTTCTAGACATCCATTTGTTCCTTCTGATATATGTGACTTCTTGATCGTTATCTTTAGTAACGCATCAATAACTTAGGTGCAAGTATTGCAGGATTCTGGAGGAATGGTTGAAAATATAACTTCCTGTTAGTATGCATTACTTAAAAATGGGATTCTGTATTTAAGGCACTGAAGAATGAGAGCCCAGATGAAATGTGAGAGGCTATCAAATCTTTGATTTGATGGCATTTGAAAAAACCCATGAAATATGAACTTGTTCAAACCTCTGCACAGAACCCAATAAGCTTGACGTTTATATCAACGTCTTCTCAAATACAATTTTCAGCAACAATTTTTTACTACTGAGACATTTAGGAGGAAGCACAGGAAGGTGATCAGCAACAGAATATTTCTTGGGTAGCAATTAACAACAGCTTAAATCCTACTGTTTCACAAAACCAAGGTGTTGGGCAGGCAAGATTCTTAGTAATACTACTCTGATGAAGTAATTTGTTATTTCTTTTTAAAAATATCATCCCATTTATGAGTATACAATTAATTTTCTTGAAGATAATATAAATGAAGAATACATCAGCAAGAACCTGCATCTTAAGCTGCTCACTTCCATCTGTGACAAAGAAAATAAAATTTTCATCGAGCCTATATGACAATAATAAGTCTCCCATTATGGTGTCATACAAAATACAATTTAGCAGATCTATCTAGCATCAAGATTCTACTACAGAAACAGAACAAAATTGGTTATATAAGAGTGTCATGAAAGATGAAAAAATGTATCAAACACATGATTATCCCCACAACTTGCAAAATTTCTTGGGTATAATTCGGATATAGTTATGGTTTTGAAATATGAACTAGATGGTAAAAATAAGGTTGTTAAGCTGCTCCTCTAGAACAGCTTCAGTAAAATATACTAAAGATGTTATTTTTCTTGTTTGAAGCCAAATATAATGTGCAAAGAACTACACAGCACATCCTTGTCATGAGAGTGGGTGGACTGAATGGCAGTCTACCAGTTTCATCCGTCTGACCATGATGTCTCACTTGTCAACAGATTCAGGCTTGTGGTTTTGGGGAACACATAATTCTTGGGCCCAGGCCAAAGACAAACATGTTCAGAGACAGCAAGAGGTCCAAAGATAAAACTCTGGGGAGAAACTGCAACAAAACTAAAAGAAAATTCCCAAGATCTTTCTATGGAAAAATCACTGAGAAGATTTTGTTACAAAGAAAAGAAAGATGAATCTCTAACATTGTATAATGAACGTCCAAATTAAAAAAGATCCAGAAAAGTATTTAATATGATCAGTTCATTGCTGATTTAGAAGCCTGAAACAGAGACAGTTCCACAGCTATAGATACTGCAAGGCTCAAAGGATTAAAATAAAAAGGCTTCTGCTTTAAAATTATGAAAAAAAACAAACAACAAAACAAAACAAACAAACCCAAAGCTGACTAAATTAAAATGCTCCTGCCCAATTTACTTGTGCACCAATAATCTGGGTTTTTTGGGGAGAATCTAATATTTTGTCACTCATTTCAAAATGAGCAACAAGAATGAAGAAACTTTCTTGTCAAGATATGATTAACAATTTAAAATCTGTTTCTAAACAAATTTCTGTATATGCAAAATATATACCATATTATGTATAATTTAAAAATTGTATTATACTTTGTTTTTGTGCATGCATTAATTCTAGGGAAAATAAAAACTAGATTATAGTTTTCTTCATGACGTGGTATCTTTTTGTGTCTGTACATTTCAAACTTGAGTTCAGTTAGTTAAACATATTACACTTTGAATACTTATAAAATACATGGATAGAAAGTGGTCCAAAAAAACCCCATTACATGAAAAAAAATCATATTTATTTAGGCTCTGTGACCTTTACTGTTGCATCCTTCAGGTCACAAGTGTTAAGTTTCTGACAACCACATTGCCAGAACACGGAGCTGGTTTTGAGAACATGAGCAAGGACAGGTATGGAGAACTTTTTGCACACAGCTGTAAGATGCACTAAATTTAGGGACAAGCCTTGACAATTTTTTACATGATAAGAAAACTATATTCAATTCTCTTCTTAAAAGAGGAATGGAGACATAAAAATGAAAAAGGACATAGAAACCATGTTGTAATACAACCTTTTATCATTGCAGAAGTATTCTTAAAATTAGTTTCTAAGTAGTAAAAAAGATATATTCACATATAGACATATATTGTCTCTACATACACATATTTGAGTTTAGGCATAATCCTACCAACCTACTTACCTAGTGTTTTCCTAAGTTACACAAAACTAACACCTGGTGTCTATCTTCCTCCATATGCAGAATTCTGGGAAAGCAGTGGAACCCAAAAGAATTTGTAACTAAGTGAATTTACCATGAAACATAGGTTTTCATAGGCCAGCTTGACTGTTTCACTACAGTTGACAGATGCGTAAGCAACACAAATCCTAACATGCTTTAAAAAAGAAAAAAGTATTAAATTTCCATGTGTCTAAATGGACGCCTCTAAATGCATTTAAATGGATGGAGTCTTTAGAATGTTTTCATATAAATAGGCTGACAGTCACTATAACAACATTATAATAATATTTTTATCACTTAGTGACATCCAAGTGTACATTATCCACTGATCTCAAAATTCATAAGCACAACCAGGTTACCTTCTCTAGCACATACTATTGCAGTCACATATTATGTTTTGGATAGAAATTTGCCAGCTCCTGGCTGCTGAATTAAGCCTTGACAAACTCTTTAGAGCTGATGTGTTTCAGG